ACCACACCCTTAAATGCATTGAAGCAACTGCCATGTGATTGGTTGATTAGATAATTGCATTAATGAGAAATTGAACAGGTGTTCCTAATAAACCTTTAGGTGAGTGTATATCTAAATGCCCAATTGTTTTTACAATTCCAATATCAAAACATCTGAATGTATGATAAGGATGAACTAGTCTTATAGTTTTATAGGCCAGGTCATTAAAATGATACTTTAAAAGGGTGCCATTGGAAGTTGCTGATTTTTTTATAGATGTAGAATTCATCATAATGTTACAAATACCAGGTAAAGCCCCTTCAGATAAAGCTCCAGCCAGTCATCATTTGTATTGATATTTAAATGACACACTTTATTACCTGAAGAAAAACCAAATGTTCTTTTGTAGATACATAGGAAGGAATCTAACACTTATCATTCAAAATCAAATGAGCATAATAACATAACTACAGCTGAAATTTGTGTCATCGATAGATATAATAATACGCTCAAGATAAATGTAAATAATATTCATCCTTAAATAATTTCCATAATCTTAAAAGACAACTGTGTCACCTTTCAATAAATGAACACAAAGAAAAAAAAAATGGAAAAAAACACAAAACTAAACATTTTTACTTAGTAGAAAAACTTATTGGTTTGGAGGATTTACTATATTCGTCAAAAAAGTGCTTGAGGTTTTTAAAGACAAACATAATAACTTATTAATATTCATCCCCGGGTTATTGGCCAGCAGTTATTATCTACCTGCGTTCTTTGTGGTATGTAACATCCCTTCATTTAGTGCCATAATTTTGTAACAGCAATACTTAACAAAATGTTCAACAGTATTTTAAGATGGGCAGTACAACTAAATCATTACTGGTTTGGTTGTATATGAAATGACAATCTTAATATCAAATTCACATGCATCATGTCCCATTTTTGGCAAAAAGCCTATGTAAAGGTAATTCAATCTTAAGATAATAATATGTAAAGACACAATTATATAAGCCTGGAATTCTTCAGGAACTGAATAAGAACCTTGTAAACAAAAGTGTACTGTAGGACGGTCTGCACCATCATCATGCGCTGCTGACGCATCAAGTTCAAAGCGGTTGGGACATTCATCAGCTGAAAAAACAGGGAAATACTTTCATTAAAGTAGACAGTTATATTCCCTTACTCATTTAACTGATGTAAGTTGTCAGTGTTTTTTATCTATTATGTGAAATAAATATTTAATGTTGACTTTATAATAAAAAAAATATTTTAAAAATATAAAATGTATTTGCTCCTGTTACGCCCAGCTCGTCCAATCCTTGTGTGTGCCACGCCCCCCTCGTTACCTCATGTTACTTCCTGATTGGGATCACCTGTTGCTTGTTCAGTTCAGCCTGTCTTGTGTATTTAGTCCGCGTCTGAGTTAGTCTACCAAGATCTGTCATTAATGTTGTCTGACGTGGTGCCTGGTCCTGTACCTGTCTGCCCGTCTGTGCGCAATAAACCCAGTTTGCCTGTCAGTCTGGCTCAGCTTGTCTGCTTTCCTGCTCGCCTGAACCGCGTCCGTGACGGCTCCATTGTCAGAATATCATATGTAATATTTTATTTTAATATTATTTTATATTAAAATAATGTTATATATTTTAATATTATATTTAATATTATTTTTGTGCCATACCTCATTATGTTCCAGACAAGCGATCATGACTTCTGTCAAAATTACCACTCCTGTACGTCCCACCCCAGTACTGCAGTGGATCAGAACTGGTGCATGGTTCTTTGGATCTGTGGTGTTGTTCGTATGCCTTCTTACTGATTGAATCTCTTCTAAATAGGCTGAAAAACAAAGGATGTTGACAGTTTTTGAAGTAGAATTACACCAATGAGCCAAAACATTATAACCACTTCTACATAAAGTGAATAATAATTGCGTATCCGGTAAAAATGGTGCCTGTCAAAATATGGGATATATTAGCATTCAGGGATCTGAGTGACTGACAATAGCCAAAACATTGCGGCAAGAAGACTGCATCAGACCATCTCCAAAACGGTAAGCCTTGTGGGGTGCTTATGGTCACCCGTGGTGAGTACCTATTAAAATCATCTATTCTGCCATAGTAACATGCTTTTATTGGTTCATACTAGACAGGATGTTCTTTATTAACATCTCACTGCCCAACACCTCGTCAGTCATTCATGGTTTGTACCTCCTTAGACCGTGTTTAATAGATACTCACCACAGCTGACCATGAGCACCCCATGAGCTTTGCTATTTCAGAGATGCTCTCACACAGTTGCCTGGACATAATGATTTGTCCCTTGTCAAAGTCACTCAGATCTTTATTACTGCCCAATTCTTCTGCATTCATCATGTCAACCACAAGTAACAAATGTTACTGAATCATCAAATATATCCAAGACATTGACACACATGTATTAGATTTTATAATGTTTTGGCTCCTCAGTGTATATTTACGACATCATAATAATGAGTGAAGTTTCAATAAAATATTTTGAAAATAAGCAGGCCCTAAAATAAGTTCCAAGACAAATTTAAGACTATTTATAATGTTTCTGGTTTTATGAAATATAAATTTTACTTATTTATAAATTTTATTTATTTGTATATTTTACTTATTCAATGGAATCATTTTTCCAAAACAATGTTAATTTTTTGAGAAAACAAGGTCAGACAGCCCCTGTGCAATATGGGATTAAGGCAGCCAGTGGTGAAATCACTCTGCCAACCACAGGATATGAAAAAATTACCTTCCGTTCACAGGCATAGTTTTCTAAGCTGTGGAGCTACACATATATTACAAATAGAAAATATAACAAGAGACATCAAAACTCCATACCGAATGATAAGAATGTAAGTATATGTAATTGTATGACAGTACAAATTAATTACCCCAAACGACACGATCTTTCGATAAAGATATCATTGTTAAATAACAAAATTTTATGCTAATATTTTTTTCATTAGTCGAATTTAAACTGCTATTTAACCGATTAAGATATTTAACACTCACACAAAAAACCCTTGATGTCTTCAGGACATCCATGGTCAGGCCAGTCTGTGTACTGCAGATGCCAGACAGTCCGTTCTTGGCCAGTCAAGAGCTGCTTTATCTTCAAACCTGTGGTAGCATAGCAGCCAGAGTCAGTACGGAAGCGTGTGGTAATTCTGAAGCGGCTGTAAGTAACAGAGTTGTGGCGTGATCCCAGACGTGGCCAGTAACGGAAGCTCCTTTCCCTGCCCCCTTCCTGTAAGTCAAAATGGAGATAAATACAGTTTAATACATTAATATCAACATTACATATCATATTTTTCTTAAACTACAGAATCTTGGTCCTATATAGTCAATTCATCAATTTACAGTATTACTCATGTACAAGGAAATTAATCTACCAGAACTACAGTCATTTGTAAGTACATAGTACAGATATTTAAATAGGCCATCTTTTACAAATGTGGTAAAGACAAACCATGACCTCAAAACAGAGATCAATTCCAAGAAAAAATCTGTACCTCTTCAGCAGTGACCATAGCAATGATAGAAACACCCTGCTCCCACACCATCTGCCAGAAGTCCTGACAAGTGCTGGAGAGTGGCCCTTGGGAAGCAATGTAATTCTTCTCTTCCACACCCACAGTGACCTGATAGCCAGATAGGCAGAACAACAATGATGATATTAAAAAAAAGGAAAAAGATGACAGAAAATAACTATGGTACTAAACAGACTTTATTTATGAAAATATACATGTAAGAACTTCAGACTTAGTTCACAAAAGATTTCTGTTCAACAGGTTAGATTTACCTTGATATGAGAGGCATTGATATAGCCTGTGTTGTTTTCTTTGGTTGGTACCAACTCAACGCGCGTGTCATCATAAGGCAGAATGTCCTGAAAACGGTTCCTGTCACCATTCTCCGGCAATTGAGCGATCGAGCACTCCAGGTGCGGATGCTGCTTAGGTAGCTGCTCATACTGCGTGATCTCCATACCCTGCTCCAGGTGCTCTTCAAGAAGCTTCCACTGAAAGGCACAGTAAAACATGAGTATTCTACATGTATTGATATATCACAATATGCTCATTGCTCACCACTTTTTCATTGACACAATATTCTTCAAGTCATAAACCTCTGAGAGGTTTAAAGGACAGAACTCATTAATGGAGCAAGGATGAAACAGGAACACGCAAAAAGAGAAATTATCTGCACTGAAAATTCTCTTTAAAAAGCTAATCTACATAAGAACCTATAACAGATAAAAGCGATACTATTATTTTAACTTCCCAAAATGAAACAAATAATTCAGCATCACTGTGCATTCATCTATCTTCCATACCTGCTTATCCTATGGTTGATGGCGGTCCAGAGGCTAACCCAGAAACACCAACCCATAACAGGACACTCTAAACTGGGCATTTACTTGATTAAACTCAATCAATCAATTTTAAAAAAGTACTGATTAAAATTTCCCTTCTCCATTACTTGGCAATATGGAGGAAGGAAGACAGAGCATTGAGGAGGAGGATCCAAATAAAAAGTGAAAGCATACAAAAATTTGTGTTTATTAATAAATATTAATATTTATTAGTTGAAATTAACATAATATTTTTTTTATTAAGAGACTTTTTCAATGTATGGGTGTGCGTCTGTGAATAATATACATATTGTTTTTTGCAAACTGCAGCCTGGTGCTTCTCTGTGTCTCATTAATGAAAGGCTCCTGCAATGCTTTATGGAACTTTAGTTTTGCTTCTAGGAGCCTGATGCGAACTGTTCTAGCAGTGTACTTCACACCTGCGCTTACTTTTTCCCATTCCTTTTCAAATTCACCTGATGTCATCCTCTGATTCATGGAACTGTTGGATAAGTTGTAGGTCATCTCTGCCATTAAAAAGAGGCTTTTGCTCTCTACTTGGCTGGTTATTGGTTGTCCCCAGTATCTTATGTTTCATCTTGTACTGCTGTCTTACAAACTTTGAGCTTGGGAGAAACCTGCCGTGTAGCCTTCTTCCAGCATAACCAGGATTAAACCAAAATTTAAAAATGCATATTTAATTAAAAAAAATATCCCTTAAAAGTACAGCTCTGTCATTTTCTGTGACATAACAGCAAGAACTATAGCAGATACACTAATGGAACTGATGGAGCCCTGGATGGGCCACAGGTATGGGTGTAATTTCCAGGGGGGTTAGGGGGGTCATGACCCCCCCAATAATCAGATCCAGCCAATATAACCCCCCCAATAATCATGTTTCCCCAGTAATGGGTGGAGACCTCGACCCCCCCAATGTTCCAGCCAAAGTTACGCCCTTGGCCACAGGCAGTTATTTTTTCATGTGCACATTTTAACTCATTTACATTTAAATGATGCTTTTGTCCAAAAAGTCAAAAAGAATGGCAAAAATTTTATGCACTCCCTGGGGTTTGAACCCACAAGCTTAAGTTGTTTTTACAATGCTCTATCACTGCTCACACTACAGTAAATCAAGCTTTAGTTTAAAATACTAAAACAAGCTCACGATTGTGCCACCAAAAACTACGACACAAATTGCACCCCATATTGGTTCAACACCAGACACCATAGTATTTTTCAATATGAAGCGATGACACAATATACAGGATGGGTGCAAACTGTAATCCTTATCTTTTCCAAAAGACTTAACTGCATGACTACATTGACATGTTCAATATACACTACAAATCAAAAAGATCCAAAACATGGTTTTTGAGTTGTGCGCTTTTTTCTATGTGGTGTTGCTTCAATTTTCGGGTGATCTGCATTTAATTGGTTTTAGTTACTCACCCACATAATGTCTATGCAAAGTTTGAAAAAGATCTGTCAAGTAATTGTTGGAGTAATTTTCTAACATACCAAAGCATGTGCTGCTGGTGCCAGAACCATAAGTATTCCCTGAAGGCTGGAATAAAGTTAAGGTAATTTCAATTGCTCTGCACAAAATTCAAATATTGTAATGGTCTGTCAATGGATTATCATGTCTGTGAGAATGACCAAAAATATGTGTAGTAGTCTACCAGCAGCTTCTGTTGATTTCAATTAGGTTCACAATGTAAATTAAAGAGTCCATGTTCCGTGTGCTTGTTGCCAAATTCACTAAGGGCATAACCCCCTTTTCCTGCTTGATCAATTAATTAGACTTCTTGGACAGTCACATTTTCTTTTTTGGGTTACACACAGTGGGCGTGACTGCACTGATGAGGGAAGAATATCCATCCATCCATCCATTATCTCCCGCTTATCCGAGGTCGGGTCGTGGGGGCAGCAGTCTCAGCAGGGAAACCCAGACTTCCCTCTCCCCGGCCACTTCATCCAGCTCCTCTGGGGGAATCCTGAGGCGTTCCCAGGCCAGCCGAGAGACATAGTCCCTCCAGCGTGTCCTGGGTCTTCCCCGGGGCCTCCTCCCAGTGGCACATGCCCGGAACACCTCAGCAGGGAGGCGTCCAGGAGGCATCCTAATCAGATGCCCGAGCCACCTCATTTGACTCCTCTCAATGTGGAGGAGCAGTGGCTCTACTCTGAGTCCCTCCCGAATAACCGAGCTCCTTACCCTATCTTTAAGGGAGAGCCCAGCCACCCTGCGGAGGAAACTCATTTCGGCCACTTGCACTCGCGATCTCGTTCTTTCGGTCACTACCCACAGCTCGTGACCATAGGTGAGGGTAGGAACGTAGATCGACTGGTAAATCGAGAGCTTTGCCTTTTGGTTCAGCTCCTTCTTTACCATGACAGACCGATGCAGCGCCCGCATCACTGCGGACGCCGCACCGATCTGCCTGTCGATCTCCTGCTCCATCATCCCCCCACTCGTGAACAAGACCCCAAGATACTTAAACTCCTCCACTTGGGGAAGGACCCCATCCCCGACCTGGAGAGAGCATTCTACCCTTTTCCGGCTGAGGACCATGGTCTCGGATTTGGAGGTGCTGATTCTCATCCCAGCCGCTTCACACTCGGCTGCGAACTGTCCCAGCGAGAGCTTTAGGTCACGGTCCGATGAGGCCAACAGGACCACATTATCTGCAAAAAGCAGAGACCTAATCCTGAGGTCACCAAACCGGACACCCTCAACGCCCTGGCTGCGCCTAGAAATTCTGTCCATAAAAACTATGAACTGAATCGGTGACAAAGGGCAGCCCTGACGGAGTCCAACCCTCACCGGAGACAAGTCCGACTTATTGCCGCCCATGCGGACCAGACTCTGGCACCGGTCAAACAGGGACCGAACAGCCCTTAAAAGGAAGCCCGGCACCCCATACTCCCAGAGCACCCCCCACAAGACTCCCCGAGGGACACGGTCGAATGCCTTCTCCAAGTCCACAAAACACATGTAGACTGGTTGGACAAATTCCCATGAACCCTCCAGAACCCTGCGGAGAGTATAGAGCTGGTCCACTGTTCCACGGCCGGGGCGAAAACCACACTGCTCCTCCTGAATCCGAGGTTCGACAATCCGGTGGACCCTCCTCTCCAGAACCCCCGAATAGACCTTACCAGGGAGGCTGAGGAGTGTGATCCCCTATAGTTGGAGCACACCCTCTGGTCCCCCTTCTTAAAAGTCTGCCAGTCCAGAGGCACTGCCCCCGATGTCCACGCGATGCTGCAGTTGCGTGTCAACCAGGACAGCCCCACAGCATCCAGAGCCTTAAGGAACTCCGGGCGGATCTCATCCACCCCCGGGGCTCGGCCACCGAGGAGCTTTTTGACCACCTCAGTGACCTCCGCCCCAGAGATAGGGGAGTCCACACCCAAGTCCCCATACTCTGCTTCCTCATTGGAAGGCGTGTCGGTGGGATTGAGGAGGTCTTCGAAGTACTCCCCCCACCGACCCAAAACGTCCCGGGTTGAGGTCAGCAGCACCCCATCCCCACCATAAACAGTGTTGATGTTGCACCACTTTCCCGCCCGGAGCCGCTGGATGGTGGACCAGAATCGCCTCAAAGCCGTCCAGAAGTCGTTTTCCATGGCCTCACCAAACTCCTCCCAAACCCGAGTTTGGGAATATCCATAACTCAAAAAACATACAATTTTTTAAGTGCTTTTTTGACTTGTGTGCCTGATGGGAGAATTGAGCCCTAAGTTATCTGGAGTGTCTAAATTCATCGTATGTGTGAGTGAATGTGCACCCTGCAATGGTTGGTTGGTTCCAGCCTTGAGTGCAATTGTAATATTTATATTATATTATGTTATATTATATTATACATAAACAATTACTTAATTACTATTCTAAATAATTGGTAGAATAATATAATCAATTGGACTACAGGGGGAAACCTGCAAGAACATGCAAACTCCACACATACGGAACCAGGCTGCAGTTTGAAACCCTGGTTCCAGATTTGTAAGGCAACAGTGCTAACCACTGAGGCGCCATGCCATTACTGTACAATAAAACAATAATACAGAAACTGCAGCTGGCATAAACTTAACTTCACATTCAGGTGATGAGGATATTCATTCTTTTCACCTCTGCCTGCTATGATACATTACATCATCATTAAGAGAATAATTCATAATGCAAAACCAAATACAAATGTGATTCTGCACTGTATTGGACTTACTGTGTATGTATATACACTCACCTAAAGGATTATTAGGAACACCTGTTCAATTTCTCATTAATGCAATTATCTAATCAACCAATCACATGGCAGTTGCTTCAATGCATTTAGGGGTGTGGTCCTGGTCAAGACAATCTCCTGAACTCCAAACTGAATGTCAGAATGGGAAAGAAAGGTGATTAAGGCAATTTTGAGCGTGGCATGGTTGTTGGTGCCAGACGGGCCGGTCTGAGTATTTCACAATCTGCTCAGTTACTGGGATTTTCACGCACAACCATTTCTAGGGTTTACAAAGAATGGTGTGTAAAGGGAAAAACATCCAGTATGCGGCAGTCCTGTGGGCGAAAATGCCTTGTTGATGCTAGAGGTCAGAGGAGAATGGGCCGACTGATTCAAGCTGATAGAAGAGCAACTTTGACTGAAATAACCACTCGTTATAACCGAGGT